GCCGCATCATTATCGGCAACAGCATCGATGACATGAACAACGCAGAGTGTTGTCAGCCGTTGCTGTTGTTATTGTCCAACACTTTTTGTGAGTATTGGGCAGTGTTTACATATATTTTTACTGCGCAGCGTTTAAGTTTTATGAGCTGCTCAGCGTGTGGACCCAAAGCATAACGACAGCAACAGCTGCTGCTCAACAAGACAATCTCTCCCACTCTCTCTCTCTCTCACACACTCACTCACTTCTGTCCATCTGTACTTGAAATTTTGGTTTAATTTGCATGGCTGAAGGCGCTTTCGAGTTGCACTTGAGACAGGCGCAGCTTGTTTTTTGGTCTATGGCACAGTCAAGTGCCACTCGAGCGACAGAGACAGACAGAGAGAGAGAGAGAGAGACAGAGTGAGGTGTCTAGCGGGACCTACTCAAAACGAAAGACTCAAGCAAAAAACTTGCGCTCGATAGGAATTTATGCAAACATCAGGTCAAACTAATTGCCGAATGCGATTCTCGTGTTATGTGTGAACAGGAACTCTTGAGTTTTCGTTACAAGGATTACAAGCTGCAAATCCACTTGGCACATGACGCGCGCCCCGCTCCTCGCACCACCTGCGCCGCATTGTTATATCACTCATCCTCCTCCTCCTCCTCTACCTCCGTCTTCTTCTTCTACTTCTACTACTTTGTCTTTTTTGTTCATTGTTGTCAGTGGTTGAATTTGGCGCTTCCCTTTTTTCCTTTATGTAGCTCGTCCTGCATTGTCCTTTACACGCTGCTGTAACTTAATCCGCTTAGCTCTGCTTCTCTCTCTCTCTCGCTCTTTCTCTCTCGCTCTCTTTCTCTTTATCTCCCTTTGAACACTTGTCAGCAGTTGCCCCTGAAGCGTCAGCCACATTAACAAATATCACACACACACACAAGTGTTTGATGAGTTCACAGTCGAAATTGATTGATCGATCGATCGCCACAGGATACGGATAATGGATAAGTTAGAAGACAGCGCAATGAATAGAATTTCAAGGTACGTATATAAGGAAATAAATTGAGATATCAAGACCTCAATATATAAGTGTTAGTTACTTCACACTCACTCAAAGCTACTCGCTATATATTGTCGTGACTACTACCATTGATCCACTACTAATACGTCCTTCCAAACAAATCTAAATCTCAACTATCTCCTGCTCTTAGCTTAGTAATCTAAAATAGAAAATTAAACTCTACTTTAACTTTTACTCAATAATCTACACTCTCTTATCTTTACTCTCTCCACTTTTAATATTTTTATTACAAAATTGAGGGAATTTTAATGCCATTAGTCAAAAATCTTCGGACAGCATCTGCTTTCAGTCTTTTTACATCGATTTGAATATTTCGTTTTGGCACTCGTCGCTCGTCGCTCCCACGGTCAACGGTTTTACCATATCCGATTATCGGAAACGGATGAGCACAAACTGTGAACCGACGGGAATTGGCGAGCAAACAAACAAAGGCGGGCACCGAGCATGCTAAACCAAATAGGAACTGATACCGGCGAAGCGATTGCAACTGCGTCTTAATTTCGAGCCACGAGCATTACATAATCAACAGCAAAACAACTGTTCCTTACACACACACAATCTCTCTCTCTCTCTCTGTCTAGCTCTCTGTTCTACTCTCTTCTGGGTTTTATGGCTATGACAAAGGAAAAGCCGCAACGACCCTTGAGGTAATAGAGAATAAAACAAAGCCATACCGCCGCGAATTCGCTAGAAATGCCACGCGGTAATCACAAATATTGACATTTCCTTAACATTCAAACAGAGACAGAGACAGCTTTCTCTCACTCTCTCTCTCTCTGTCTGTCTGTCTGTTGGTAGGTAACCTTATACCCACTTTTGGGCTTCATTCACAATAGCCACACATTGTGCCTATCAATAAATAGCACAAAGCACTTTTTGTGCTCAGCAATTCACGATTCTCGATTCATTCCTTTATGGGTTCATTGGGTTTCCAAATTGGGCTGGTTAGAGAGCTTCGATAAAAACTATCCGATTACTTCAGCCTGCATTTCACACGCTCATCTAACGTTCCTCGCATTCTTATCATGTTTTCCAAATTGGCCTGGTCAGCTGGTTCGACATTTGTCTTCAATTAAAGATGAGTCAGGAAAGTCTGTTTAAGGGAATACTTAATATTTGCTCAGATAAAATTACAATATATATATTTTATTAAGCGAAGTAGCTTAGAAATTGTATTCATATATTTTGTCTTCATTATATTTAGAGAAATATTATGTGTTTCAAACTTACTTTCCAGCTACTTTTTACAGTTTTTTCCAGAACTGGGAATCAGAAGGATTTTCAAGAATAAAATAAATAAAAGATAATTTGGCGCTTAAATTTATTTAAGACAAAACCCATAAAAGGCTTCAACCACATAACAAATCAATTTCAGATTTAAGAAAACTACCTGAATTACCCTCGTAAAGGTAGAGCCATAAAATACCTTAACTACTGAGCTAAGATTTTACCTGTGAATGAGGAACGACGCCAAGCAATTAAGTAGATCTAAGGAATAAGAAGAAATTATGCTGAGAGTGATGCGAGTAGGAGAAAATAAGATAGAGTAATGGAAAGATATACTGTAAGGCAAAGAGAGGGATAGAGAGAGCGAGATAGTACGAGGAAGGGGAAGATAGTAAGACATAATGAGATATATAGCAAATATGAGAGATAGAGATAGTTGGAGAAAGTTACACATATATATATGTATATAGAGAGATGGAATGACAAAGAGAGAGAGAGAGACAGAAAAAAAGAAAGAGGAAAGCAATTAGATTGTAAGAGAAAGAAATGCGGAGAGAGAAAGTCAGATAGCCTCTAACTCACGAGAGCAGTTTAGATATAGAGAGGATGAGACAGAAAGAGGGATAATCTCCTACTAGTGAAGAGCTATTTAGAGATTGAAAGAGAGAGAGAGAGGGAGACAGCGAAAGACAGATATACTCTTATCTATCGAGAGCTTTTTAGAGATTGAGCAAAACAGAGATATAGAGAAAGAGAGATAATCTCATATTAGAGTTAAAGAACGAGAGAAAATCAGACTTATCTATGCTACTCTTTTTGACATCTTATCAGTGCTGCCAACTCTTCCGGGCAAGAAAATGCTAAATTAACCTTTTAAACCTGCTAGAAACGGCTAGATCATTTTCAGTTTCCCTTAAAAATGGGAAATTAGGGTATAAAAGTATATATTTATATTATTGATCAGAGCGACGAGCTGAATCAATTAAGCCCGGTCCGTCTGTCTTTCCGTCCGTCTGTCTTTCCGTCCGTCTGTCCGTATGTATGAACGCGTCGATCTCAGAAGATATATGTAAGAGCTAGAGACAAGAAAAATTATTGAACAATTAAGTTCCAATCAATAATTTTCAAGTACTTTGGAGGCACGTTAAATAGTGCTGATTTGACTTTAAAAAATGACAAATTTCCCGACAGCGGCTAGTTTACAATTTTTCCTGCATTTGGCAGTTGGAAAATGGCCGGTAAAAAACTAAGTTGGCAGCCCTGCATCTTATCAAAAATTTTTTGTTTTCTGGGCCAAATTAATTTCAAGGAATTCGCCAACAACAAAAAATGTTTCGCAACTATTCGCGCGCCTTCATGAATGCGAAATGCGGCCTATCATATGACTGTGAAATGGCGTAGAGCACAACAAAATGAAGAGCTTCATCGTCGTCCACATGTCGACCACAACAAAGAGACCTGCTGTCGCAGCTCCTGTCGCCGCTTGGGGAGTTGTGTGTAATCTAGACTCGCTCAGCGCCGCAGCTATTCAAGAGCTAATAATTATAACAGAAGTGCCCGGGCAGCCTGCCGCCTGTTGTGGTATCCAATCCTCGCTCCGCGACGCCCCCTCGCCGGGCCAACCTTATAATGTGTTTAATGGCGCCGCATTATCCACACATAACCCTGGCCGGCTGGCCACGGCCGAAGCCGAAGCCGAAGCCTTAAATTTGCACAGTTCGTCCTTTGGGCCAGCAGAAATTACTTTGTTTAATTTTTGTTTTTTTCCTGTGTCTCTTAGACGTATGTATGTGTGCGTGTGTGCCTGTGTCTGTGTGGGTTTGTTCTTGCTTCAAAGCAGCATTGTTAAGCCGCACCACATGCAGACATACTTTGTGTTTGACCACATGGCATAATGAGTCTGCGTGTCCTGCCTGCACAGGACATCCGACTAAAACCAGCTCAGGTGTGCGTAGGTGTATGTGTGTGTGTGGGCGCATAGGTGTCTACGTGGGTCGCTGGACACCAGGATATTTGCGGTTGTGCAACAAAAATAACCCATTCGTTTGTTCGACTGACTGCAAAATTTGAATGCCCTTGAATGTCCTTTGTGTAACATTAACACTCGATTGATTTATTGATTGACCATCCACACGATTGGCACTTCAAATGGCCACTCCTAGGAAGGTGTTTACATTTGTATAAGAATAGATAAATCGACTACTCAATCGATTATTACTTGCCCTTCTATTGGTCAATCTTGAATCAACCCTTCTACCAATAGCCAAAATTGTATCAGTAAATTATTCAATCTTTGTCAATCAATCTAAAATCAATCACGTAATGCACCATTTCTTCACCAGCAACAATCACTGCTATTATCTGCAGTCAATCCGTGACCCCAGTCAACGCATCACGTCAATCTAATGGCTCAGTATTTACTCAATCGTAACTCAAACCTAACCATCTACTGCAAGTGAATATTTTTTAGTCAATCACTACAGGTCAGTCACTATATGCCTTGTCAATCTCTATATTAGCCCCATTCAATCCTTAGTCCATCATAAGCAAGCGATGTTCTATCAACTGCCAGTTAATCAGCCATCAGCCTACAAGCATTAGTCAAGCATTGTCAATCGTTCACAACGACGAACCTCTTCAATCATGATTGCAATCCGTTCTCTCATGAGATTACTGAAAACACGTGTATTTTTTTTTTTTTCTTTATTTGATGCGTTCCAAAGATAAACAGATAATTTTAACACCAATTGCTGAACAATTGCATTTCCAAATGTGGTCTTTACCGGAATTTACGAAAACTATTTGTACATCTTGAAATTTGTGATTGATTCTGTGGAGGAAGGTAGGATTAGTAGAAGTACAGACAGAGGAAGCGACGTAAACGTACCCCATACGTGTGATACGACTGTTTGTTCCGTGTGATACGTCCTTTTGTATTTATGTATGTGTTGCATGCCATGCCCTACGAGAGATGGAGAGGAAGGACGACATTCTCAATAGAGTAATACTTACTGGATGGATCAAAACACTTACGCCCAACAAATGATTGCAGAAAATATATACAAATATATATCTTCATTTTTTTTTTTTTTTTTTTTTTTTTTTTTTTGTATGCCTCGACAACTTCACTTTTAGCTTACAAACTAAGTTGAAAAAAAACAACAATAAAACGAAAAAAACGAAAACGAAAAATACTTTGAATTTTGAGAAAATTTTCCGAAAATAAAATAAATAAAAAAATGAGAAAATAAAACTGATGTAGCCTTGTGTAAATGCTGTGTAGAACTGAGCTCGAAACATATTCCATTTTCCCATCTGAATGTGGTTGACAGTTGGGACGGTGCTCGGCCTACTTGATTCGAATTGAATCCAATACGAAGCATTCACTTTCAATTTCATTGCGCCTCGATTCCGGAAAAGTCTCGAGCTCCGCTCGGATATTTGCTTTTGTTATAAATACAAACAGCTCGGGGGCTCTGAGCGAGGTAGGCGGTGGCGGGTTTGTCTTGGGTCTCGTCTCCAGTCTGGTTTGGTTTTTGGTCGCATTTTGTGTGCGTGTGTGTGTGTGTGTGTGTGTGTGTGTGTGTTTGTGTTTTTAGCCTGGTCTCAAATTGCACAAGAACAAGCAAACAGGCACAAGGACAATAAGAATGAAAACCAAACCAAGCCGGATTAGTGGTATGACGTCCCTTTTCTTTTTTCCCGGCTTTTGGACCAACGCTCGAGTCGAGCCACATTATTTGTGTGTCTGAAAAAGTTAATTAAGGGTTTCACAGTTTATGGAAAATGTCAACCGAAATATATGTATGTATGTATGTGGAATACGGCGCAGACCAATTGCTGTCAAGGCAACCAGTCAACAGATCTACCCGCCCCGCCCCGCCCCACGCCGCTGCCGTCCACTCGCACAGCCTCCCCCTGCCGCCTCGCCCCGATACACCTAACGGACATCACCCGCAGCGTTATTGTGGCCATAATTAGCTGCGGCCAAACACTAATTGTGCTCTACCTAGGCACAGCTGTGACTCCATCCAGCCATCCATCCATCCATCCATCGAATCATGGCTTCTCCCCTCTCTCCCATTTCGTACTCCGTTTCAAATTCGGCTCTCGGCTTACAGCATTTGTAACTATTTGATGTAGCGCGTATCGCATTGCAGACACCCGCAGTGTAACTGGTACAGTCGGCCAAGTCAACTGCCAAGTGGCTGACTGTACCGGCCCTTCCGTGGGGTCGTCTATCACATCACAGTCACGCTTCAATTATGATTTTGTCTTTATTTCAATTTTCAAGAATTTGTTTCGGAATATACATTTCGTTTTTTCAATATTTTCCAATACTGTTCAGCTTCTTTTGATCTCTCTGTACCCTCGTTCTACCTCCCTCTTGCTCTTAGTCTTTATTAGTATAAGTACAAGTCTTTCTTTCCTACTATCCCTGTCTCTATCTCTATCTTTCTTTCGCACATTGCTATTCTCTCCTTTATTAGTTTAGTTTTCTTTCTCCCTCTTCAGTTTTCTTCAGATACTCTCTCTCTCTATCTCTATAAAAGCTTCAATGAGTTTTTCTGTCTGTCCGACAACTCGCTCTAGCTTCTCCCAATGTTAGCTACTACCTCTTTATCTTTATCTATCTCTTTCTCTCTGTGTGTCATTTGCAGTCTTACACTCTCTTTATTCTCATTGTAGCTCTATTTATATCTATCTCTCTGTATCTAACGCTTTCCTCTCACTCTGTTCATGGCCTTACCTTTGCCTCAATGGTCATACCTTTGCCCCAATCTCTCTCCCTCTCTTTCTCTCTCTCTCTGTCTCTCTCTCTCTCTCAATCTCTCCCGCCTCCTCTCTCCTTCTTCATTCGGCTTGTCTTCCTTCATCAGCTTTAATCCAATTCTGATGATACTAAATGCTTGCATGCATTTTTCATAAAAAGGGGGTTTGCCCCTTTAATTAGTTTAGCGACAATTCCAATAGCTGCCCACATAACGTAAAACCACAGCAACAACATATCCGCATCCGCAGCCGCATCCGCATTCGCATTGGCATCCATTCTGTTGTCCTTCTGTTTGGACTTCCGCTTGCTAGCCGCAAAATTAAAAATATATATATTTGATTTGTTGCCAATTGTCAACTGGAACTGCAAATGCAACTGGACATCGACATGGAACTGCGACGCGGTGAACTGTGACCCCGTTGACCTTTTGTGTGGCGCGTGACAGTTACCCATTTGAATTCTCTGCATCACGCCGGGTGGTCCATTGACATGCAATGCGCACGCGTTCCCTCACCCCTGTCCAAGCTATCGATCTCTCTCCCTCTCTTCCTTCTCTTCTCTTCTCTTCCTCTCTCACTCTCTGTATGTCACTCTCGCCCTCATTCTCAGCCTTGGTTTTTACCTCATTGTAAACCTCTTCCTTTTCCTGACCCCTAACCCCTAGCTTCTCCCTGAGCCTTGGCTTTATTCCTATCAGCATCAGCATGGACATTAGTCTCCGCGTTGGTCACATTAGCATTAGCAATGTCATTGGCATTAGTTTTAGCTTTGCCGTTTGTAGGATGATGTTAATGCTAATCATTAGTATTAGCATTAGCATCAGCATTAGAAATAGCATTAGCATTGACATTAGTTTTTACCTTAACCTTTGTACGAGTGCATAAGCATTAGCATTGATATTAGCATTATCACTCACATTCGCTTTAAATATCAGCATTAGCATTGACAATAGTGAAGCTATTAATAAAGTATTGATATCAGCGGATAAGTTAATATTATCATTGTCATTGGGATTAGAATTTGCATTGCTCTTCGCTAAAGCATTTACACGAGCATTACTATTAGCATAAGCATTGGCATTTAAAATTAGTATTATCATTGTCATTGGCATTAGCATTTGCATTGCTCTTAGCTACAGCATTTACACGAGCATTACTATTAGCATTAGCATTGGCATTTACATTAGAGTGAGCATTGACTCACGCATTAGACTTGGCATTAGCAGCAGCTTCAGTCCTCCCCCTCACTTTAACTTGCTCTGCCCTACATCTACCTCTAGCTCTCGCTCATCGCACCCCCTTCCTCTCCCGCGCCCTCTCCCGCCGTCAGTCTCTGTTTCCATTCTCACCCTTCAGGCTTCTGGTCCCATTTGCTTTGTTTCCAAATATTTGCAGCATAATGCGTAAATGTTTTCAGTCCAAACATTGTCCAATCAACCATTCGCATTCGCACACGCATTTTGCGACTAGTTTTAAATTAAATTCGTTGTGGGCGTTGTCAATCGATTTAAAAGGCATGAAGTCCGTAGGTCACATAGGGCACATAGGTCACTCAAAGTAGATCGTTTGCCTTTTCGGGGCAGCAGGCTGAACAATTGTCCATTAATATAAAAATAAATGTATTTCGAATATAAAAATCCCCGTTAGAAACTTTAATTATGTTTTGCTACTCTATGAGTTCATTATTTGCCGGTTCTTTGTAAGAACTGTTGAAGGTTTCAGGGCTTCATTGTCGGACATACGCATACATATACATATGTATCATGTATGCTAACTGTACACACGTATAGCTTGATGAGGCAGTCAATCGGTGAGTCCCCCGAGGTATCAGACAATCAATCAGTCAATCACTCAGTTGATCAATCAATCAGCTAGTCTATTCTTCAGCTAATCAATCAGCCAATCAAACTATAGTTTGGTCTATGAATCAGGTAATATAACTATCACTAACTAATATATCTATCAGTCAGTTCTTCAATCAAACAATTGATTGAAACTCATCAATAAAACAACTGATCTATCAATCAGTCAATCCACTGCCTATAAAGCTGTCAATCAGTCAATCTAATCTGATGGACTGAGTCATCAACCAACAGATAGTCATTTTTCCATAAATATATTCTTCCATAAACTATTGAAATTCTCTCACATTGATAGAAATGGGAATTATTGAAGGTACCTCCTTGACTCAGCTCTGAGCTCTGTTCAATCATGTATGCAAGTCCAAGTTACATATGCTCGTTCCAGAGGTACAAATGGAGCATATTGGTGCTATTTCCGTCCTGTCTTCAACATATTCCTAACTTGGGCTTTGGGTGGTCCCCTCCAGCAATTTGATAGCTCGAATCTGTATCGCAATTAAGTTGGGCCAAGTCAGAACTTGATTATCGCTCGAGTATTTGACCTGCTAAGGTCGAAAGCTTAATAACTCTATAAGCAATTAGAGGGCAGCACTCACTCTATCCGCCCGTCTCTCTGTCTCTCTCACTTCTTCGCTCTGCACACAATCTCTTGTCTACCTATGACGGACAGGTTGGTTGAGCAACAGATCCAGATATATCTATATCTGGGCGCTGACTAATGATGCCAGCGAGCACAAAGTGCACGATGAGGCGACAGCTTACTCCATTCAAGCGCAAAATGATGAATTATTGTTTTCAAATATCCACGAGAGAAACACAAAGGAAGCAGAAAACTACGAAAAAAGAATAGGGTAACAATATAAATTGATATTTAAGTATTCGCTTTATAAGTTGATTCCTTTCAATGGTCAACAGATCCTTTGACTGCTCCACGCCGAAACCCACCGAAGCCATGGGAAAACTGTCTCTAATTGATTATTACAACTGCTACAATCATTTTGTACTTGGCTAGAGCTGAGGTCAAATCAAGCCCCACTGTTTTATGGTCGAAGTCAGGTGTTGTACCTTTATTCGATATATATCTACTATTTACGAGAAATATTGACTTTATTCTCTAAAGTCTCTGAGTTCGTCTGATTGACTGTTTGATTGACCGACTGAGAGGTGGATAGATTGACCACTGTGACTGATAGATAGATGAATGGGTGACTTACGGTTTAGCTGAAGAAAATGATTGATTGATTGACGGAACGTTGGACTGATTTATGGATGGATTGATAGATCAATTGACCAATGAATATTTGGATTGACTGACTGATTGCCGACTGACTGACTAGCTGATATAATGATGGATTCATTGATTGACAGATTGAACAATAGTTTAATTGACGAATTGGCTGATTGATGAACTCTTTGATGGCCTGGTATACGGCCTGATTGACTGACCAATTGATCGACTGACCAATTGATTGACTGACTTATTGATTGACTGATTAAAAAGCTGATTGATGAACCGTTTTACTGCTTAATAAACTAGTTGACTTACCATAATCGTTACTTGATTGGTAGAACTAGCTAATTGATTTGCTGATTGTTTGATTGAACAAAGAATTTAATAAAGTCGAAGCCAAAGATAATTTAATTTAAGTATCGAAATTCCATTCAGCTAAGTCAACGTCGATTAGACGAAAAATATGAAAATTGAAAATTCTGAAATGGCAAAGAGTGCGGAAAATCGATGAACTTGAGAGGGGTAATGGAAGGGAGCTTTGTGCTTTTTTGAAAAATGGAAATAAAATTAACACACTTCAAATGGTTGGGCGCAATAAATAAAATGCGTTTTGCAGCAAGTGCGACATCAACGACAAAATAACAATGCAATAAATCACTTATTGGCAACAGGGCGGGGGTGGCCAGAGAACGACCAGAGCAGCAGCAGGAGTCGGGGTAGGGGTAGGTGTTGCCAATTGACAGGGCTGTGCAGAAGGGCAGGGGGTTCTGCTCTCTGGTCTGCGCTGATAAATTGCCAGGCAATGCCGAAGGCAACAGCAATGAGCAGCAGGAGAAGGAGAAGGAGCTGCAGCTAGCTAAATGCAGACTGTGTAATTCGTATCTGTGAATCGCATTCGCATCTGTCAGATACGCAGTTGCATTTAGCAAATTGCCAAAAGTCGCACAAGCAGCGCAACCAAACCTAAAATCGAAATGTGGTTTTTGCATTTCTGTATAGCATTCGACTAGTTAGAGCAATAGGATTGAAGACAGTGGACTAGAGTATCATACTTGACTTCATTTTTATTTATTTGATATTAAAATTTAATCTTAAATATATTTTAATTAATAATTTATATGTGTTCTTTTTTTTCATTTATTTAAATTTGAATTTCCTCATGTATTCCCTTATTTGCTTAAATCAAATAAATATTTAACTTACTTATTTCGTCAAGTCAGCAACCACTGTGCGCACGATCTGCGCTTATGTTGCTAACGTTCACCGTAAATGCATTGCTACTATATATAGCAACATGTTGCTGGGCATGTGGTGCAACATTTGAAGATGGGCAACAAGTGGCCGTCCACATAAATTGTCAGGCGAACAAAAAAAAAAAAAAGCAAATACAAAAAAATCCTATGAAACAAATAAATTTAAACTTCTTTCTTATATATTATTTATTTGTAATTAAAATTTTTCAGTTTCGAAGAAATGTTTACAATTATTAAAAATATTACATATTATATTTTTAAATAAATAATATATTCTATTTTCATTTATTATTTTTATAATTTTCTTTATATTTTTTATTACTTTGTGTACACTGTGCACTGCAATTTGTTAATGGCAATTAACACAAACGTTGCTGCTAAATGTTGAATGTTGCTAAGAGTGCGTTTTCTCTCTCTCTAAGTTGCGCTCTCTCGCAACACGCCGCGTATGCCTGCCTTCCAGCAATGTTGCTAGCGAAACGAGCCAGCAGCAAACTGCAGCAGCATGTTGCTAGCCGCCTGGCCGTTATTATTCAACGTTCAGCTATGCCGCCGCCGCCGCAGCCAAACGAGCGAGAGAGAGAAATGAGCGGGCCAGTCGCCGCGCGATTTCAATTCATTCTCATTTCGTTTGTCGTGGCGAGTGGACGTTGTCTGCTCTCTCTTTAACTGTCGCCGTTGCCGTTACCGTTGCCGCCGTCGTGTGCGTGTTCTTCGTAATTTTAGTTAACTGTGGTAACACGTTCCGCGACGTTCTTAACGTTTATCGCATCGGTCACTCTCCCAACACACATATATATCTATATATGTGCATCTGTGTGCGTGTGTTTGTGCCAGTTAGACAATGAATTATTGGTAATACTCATTTCTGTTTCTGTTTCTGTTGTTTTTTCCGTTATTTTTTGTCTGCGTTTTTCATCTTTTTTTTTTCAACAAAAATAACTTTGTGACATTTTTAAGTTGTTTTTTGCCGGAAGAATTTAAAAATAAACAAGAAACTGGGAAAAATGTGCTTGAAAAGAATTGTTTTTTTTTTATCACGTGCTTTAAATTGTTAATAAAACAGTTTTTTTTTTACTAAGCAAAGCAAATTATATTATTTTTTTTTACGAAAACAAACAACGTAAAGAAAATGAAAACAGGTTTTTTTCCCAATTGAGCGACTGACGCCCTGTTTTTGTTGTTTTTACAGCCACAGTGAGCGTTGAAAAACTATGGCCAAACGCGTGAAAACTTTAAGTTGAAACAAGAGTTGAATTACAAAAAGAAACAAAAGAAAATAGTGTTGGTTATTTTTTTTTTTTCAAATTGAAACTTGCCAAGTTAATAGCTGCTAGCATTTCAAGGCCATTTCAATATTGATTGAATGTAAAATATAGCGAAATTGCCTGGGACTGGCGCCATCTGCCGCTCGAACCTGTTGCAGTTCAAGGACATTTGCATAGAGACATGCAATTTAGCTAAGCTTTAAGTGAATCTGCTCTCCCGCTCGCACACACACAGTGTGTGCATGTGCGTGTGTGCGAGCTTTGTTGTTGTTGTTGTGTGTGTGTGTGTGTGTGTTTGAGTGAGTCAGTTGAAGTGCTTATCGTGCGGCCGTTACGAAATGCCTAAACAACAAAAATTGCAACAACAAAGTCAAACAAAACTGAACGCGCGCTTTTGACGCGCTCTCTCACGCTCTCACTCTCGCTCGTACTCTCTCTCTCTCTCTCTCTGTTTCACGTTCACTGATATTCACAAAGAGAGCGTCCACCCACACACACCACACATACATATGAAGAGCGGCTACCTGCATGATAAAAATTATTGGAAAAATCAAGCAGCAGATAAACTATAAAAAATTCTTTGTTTTTTTTTTCCTTTTGCTATTTAAGTATGCGTTATGCGTCGCCCTCCACTGCTGCTCCTGCTGCTGCTGCTGCTGCGACGTGTTTCGACTGCAGACAGCGCCGCAATTTCCGTTACAAAAAACTGGCCGGCCAAGCAGCGACGCTTTACACACATGTGTGCGTCGCCGTCGCCGTCGCCGTCGCCGTCGCTGTCGCCAGCAGGTTTACTGCGGCCAACTTTAGAACGCAAAGGCAAAGAGGAAAAAGACAAAGTCAAAGCGCAAATGTTACACACACACACACGCGCACGCACACACACATATGCTTATATGCGCTCACTCATAATCGCCTCGCACTTGCGACTCATTCAGAGACAAGTTTTTCGCCGTTGCTGCTGCCGGTTCCAGTCGCCGCTGTTGCTACAAAAATCGCTCGTGTGTGACGCAGCAGCGACGGCAACGGCAACAGCAACTGCGATGCGTTTTTCAACGTTCTTTGTTGTTGAGTCAGTTGCTTGGCCAAAAAGTAAAGGCCAACATTTGGCATTTTAACGAACTGCGGCTTAGCGCTAAATCCAATTGTCAGCCACTCAGACATTTCGCTGCTTTTCGCACTCGCTGCTAACTAAAGTTCAACGGCAAACTCAATTGCCTCTTCCTCGTCCTGCCCCTCTCATTCTGTCTGCCACTTGCGACAGTTGCTAAACTCATTCGTTAGTTTGTCACTCGTTACTCGTTAGAGTTTTGCCAGAATTTGAGAGAGTTTGACTTTGAACTTTGGCCAGAGTTAAGTGAGTTTGGGCTGCATAAAGTGCTGACTAAAAGTCTCTCTCGTTTGCTAGTTTCACTTACTCGTTACTAGTTGGAGTTGCCTGAACTCTTATGAGTCACTTAGTGCCTAACCTGCTTTGTTAACTATTACTCGTTGCTTGATATTCATAAAAGATTTGGATGAGCTTGAGTTTGATAGTGAATCGACCTGTCACTCGTCCGTTCGTTTACTCGTTGCTCGCTGATCGTTACTAGGTTCACTCGCTACTCATTACTCGCCTGAGTTTTTGTTTCTTCAGTTGACTTAGCCAATTACTAATCATAAGCCATACATTTCTGCTTCATTTCAGATATCACACACAAACGCATTATTAACTTCAGATACAATCTGCGAGTAGCGCTCGCTCTCGCTCTCGCTAATTGCCGATCGCAAACGAGTGTCAGTGACCAAAAAGTGCGCAAATTATAAATACAAGAATTCAATTCAAATCACATTAAAGCAACTGCAAATTTTTTATACATTTTTTTTACTGTGTGCAACAACGCAACAAAGAGAATAAAACAAAGAAAAGAAGAAGAAGAAACTGCAATAAGAAATTAGTGAAAAACAACAACAAGTAAAAGAAGCAACGACAAAATGGGCCAACTGCAAAGGCAGCGAGTGGCTCGACTCGCCACACTACTCTACGTAATGCTCTGCAGCTGTTTGACTATAGGTGAGTGCTATAATTTTATAATTAGACACGAGCGAACGCTGCAAAATGAAGTTGTAAAGCGTAAATTGCATTTTCAATCAAGAAACTAAAAGAAAAGCCATATAACGTTTAGACGAATGGCCTCTTTAAGAAATTGAAGAAGAACGGGAGAAAGAAAGAAATCTATCGAAACTAATCATAAAAATGTTTTGCTGCATCCATGAAAAAGTGAACTAGAGCAGGGTAGATTGGATTCGTGGAAATGTGACTGAAAGTAGGAATATGCATATGCATTTGTAGAAAATTGACCAATATTATCTATTCC